GGTGGAGGTTTGAGACTGCGCAAAGCTCTGGAGAGTTATAAAGCGGCCCCATCTTTCTCGTCCATGTCTTCACAAAATATAGCCTGGCTATCGAGAATATCTCAACTCTAGCTATCCATCATGTCGAACAAGATGCAATATGGTATGCGGATGGTAGATGGTCTTGCATAATGTTGGTTGATATTTCGAATTTTAGTTAATCTCGGTAAATCTGGCCTCAAGGTTTCTAGAATCATTCTTGGTTGCATGGGTTTCGGGATAAAAGCATGGGAGCCATGGGTGATCGAGGGTCAGGAAGCTATCGATGTCATTAAAGCCGCATATGCAGCGGGGATCAACGTAAGCTAACCATCAGGTAGTCTTATATACGGAAAGGACCTTATAGAACATCTAGACTTTCTATACCGCCGACATCTACTCCACTGGCAACTCGGAGATCCTCCTTGGAAAGGCACTCAAGGAAATCGGCGAACCTCGTGATTCATTTGTCGTCATGACCAAGGTCTTCTTCCCCCATGAAGGTCCTGATAAGACGCATAGACGTATTTACGAACAAGGGTTGAATCCAGATCAGCATGGGTAAGTGGCCGTGGCAGTTGGTCCATAACACAACACTATCTTACCCTATACTGCAGTCTCGTCAATCGTTATGGACTGTCGAGGAAGCATATCTTCACTTCCATCAAGGAATCCTTGAAGCGCCTCGACTTGGAATATGTCGACGTCCTTCAGTGTCACCGCTTCGACCTCAGTACTCCTATCGAGGAGACCATGAAGGCATTACACGACGTCGTCCAAGCAGGGTATGCACGCTATATTGGAATGAGCAGCTGCTATGCTTACCAATTCCAAGCGATGCAAAGTAAGGTCATCACTCTACCGCTAAAGGACTTAGGCTAATGATGAGCTTAGACTATGCTATCAACAATAACCTCACTCCATTTATCTCTATGCAAAACCACCAATCTCTCATCTATCGCGAGGAAGAGCGCGAAATGAATCCTACGTGCAAGATGCTCGGTGTCTCGACAATTCCTTGGTCACCCCTTTCCCGTGGTAAACTTGCACGCCCAGTCTCTACCAAGTCATCTCGTGACGAAAACGATCCGTGGATATCCATGATGAAAGGCAAGTTTGAAGAATCTTCGAACGAGATCATTGGAAGGGTCGAGAAGGTTGCAAACGACAAGGGAATATCGATGGCCCAAGTTGCCGTTGCTTGGGTGTTGCATCAAGATGTCGTCGCAGCCCCCATTGTGGGAGTTCAAAAGGTCGACCGTCTTGAAGACCTTATTGGTACGTGCATCATTTTTATACTAGCCCATCAGTGCGCTTACGAATTGGCTATATTAGGTGCAATTGATGTGAAATTGACGCCTGAAGAGATGAAATATCTCGAGGAGCCTTATATCCCCAGGACTATCATGGGCCACTGAGCGTCCAAATTTTCATATCTGCGGCTCACCATACCGTGCTTGGTATATCGTGTGCGGCTAGGTATAACAATGTAGTACAGTGGTTTCTTAGACCAAATATAAAGGTGTTTTCGTTGCTATCCCACCACCTACGAGTCCTCTTACCGACCATGGGTCCTCTCTATTATGGGGACAGCGACCGTAGCGCATGACATTGGTGAATATGTTTAGGCAATTCTCGATATGTTCATCATCCGACTAATGCGTAGACCGATATGGAAGATGCGTACCGGGTGGGAGTTTCTGCGCAGCCTCCACCTATTCACAAAAATATCTTAGCATAGCCGTAGCGCAAACCTGGTTAGAGGATCTTCCGACGTGGGCACATGGCTAAGGCGTGTTATGCTGCAAATGCTCACAAGGGTGGTGCATATATACATACTATATTTCGACCCAACTCCAACATCTACATTCTCCGCCCTACCTCGCAGACATGTTGAGGCCTGCCTTTTTGCCGCATCTCTTGGCCATCATTTTCATCTCCTTAGCTAGTCCAGTGTTTGGACAGCGTCATATCAAAGGCTGCTCAGATTGGGACTTGCAAAGACAAATTTGTGTGGAGGCAACTCTATTCACGAACGGACTAATCACTGGAACCGTCATCACTCGTTCAGAAAATCCCACAATTGGGTGTGAAGGAGGGGCCATTGCTGTGGGGAGCGATCGAACTGGTCAGACGTTGTGGGCTGCTCCTATCAAAGGGAAGGCTGCGTGTGGCGTACTGGATCCATTCTGCCCAAACTCTCAACGAGATCGCATAGAAGTGGATATTGGCGCTTCCGAAGCACAACGTACCACGAGCGTCAAGCTGTTTTATGAATTTGACGAGAAACCATTCGAAGAGCACTTTGCAACTGTAAGCTTCTATGGTCATCTGCTTCTTCAAAAATCTTAATTTTCATCCTGCAGACATTTAAGAAGATTAGACGACTCGCGGATGGCCTCTAGAGCCGTGTTGACGGGATGGTTGTAGATATATTGCCTGTGAATATCTAAAATGAACTTAAGAATAAGAGATGGTGTTAAATAGTTGATTATCCTGAAAAAGGTGGTTTCATATGACCTGGGTCTCAGTCGTCGAGGTAGTACCCAATGTGGCCTACTTCTTTGCATGCATTTCGGCCAATTTCGGCCTTGTAAGATCTAATTCATGGATCCAGATCTAGAATACCCCTTGAATCGATTCATACGACGCCTCGTCGGATTTCCTACAAAATTCGACTGTGCTCCGGATATCCGACCGGACTGCCGGAAACCGACCTTGGCTATGCATCTTCCCGACTAATCTGTTCCCAAAGGCCCATAGTGGGCGCAGTAACTTTTTCGGCAGTCCGAACGGACTCACGACGCCAGAACCCTGGACGCGCGCTACGTATGATGTCACGTATACATATGTCCCGGATTTCGGCATGGCTGGGGGATCTCTGATTATCAAGACTCGTACGTCCGTGTTCGGATTTTGTAGGCGCTCAAGGTTCATCTGCCGATGAGCGTTCGTTGGTGGGCTATATAAGGAGACGCCTTTCGAGTTGTCGACAAAACCATCACAACTTTCAGTTTACCCAGCAAACTCATCACTTTTATCACTCTTCTCATATCCTCTTCTTCGCCAATGTCGACGCCAACCGAAATGCAATATGGTGTGTATATCGAAACCTGCTTTCGACCACGTCGACTGATGTACTGGCCCTCTAGTCAACCTCGGAAAATCTGGACTCAAAGTCTCTCGAGTCATTCTCGGGACCATGGGGTTCGGGAAAAAAGAGTGGGAGCCTTGGGTCGTCGAGGAGCGTGAATCCATCGATGTTATCAAGGCTGCATTCGCCGCAGGAATCAACGTACGTTTAGTTTCCCGGCTTATATTCTCGCATACTCAAATCTATGAAATTTTAGACATTTGATACTGCCAACGTTTACTCTAACGGTCATTCGGAGATCATTTTAGGAAAAGCGATCAAGGAGATTGGCGCACCCCGCGATTCATTCGTCATCATGACCAAGGTGTACTTTGCCCATCCTGGTCCAGACAGGCCAGATGTACATCCAATTGCCCAAGGTTTGGATCTCGACAAGAATGGGTATGCCACATTTCTTCTCAAACCCCAACAAAATCACTTACTGGATAAACAGCTTCGTAAATCACTATGGTCTATCGAGGAAACACATTTTCACTTCCATCAAAGACTCTTTGAAGCGCCTCGACTTGGAATACGTCGACGTCCTTCAGTGCCATCGATTCGACCCCAACACCCCTATCGAAGAAACTATGAAAGCACTTCACGATGTCGTACAGGCAGGATATGCACGCTACATCGGAATGAGCAGCTGTTACGCTTATCAGTTCCAAGCAATGCAGAGTAAGTACAGCGCACCATCAGGGGAACCTGGCTAACATGAAACTATAGACTATGCAATCAGCCACAACCTCACTCCCTTCATCTCCATGCAAAACCACCAATCTCTCATTTATCGTGAGGAGGAGCGCGAGATGAATCCTACTTGCAAGATGCTCGGTGTCTCGACGATTCCTTGGTCGCCTCTCGCCCGCGGTCAACTCACACGACCAGTCGCTGCCACATCCGCGCGTGGAGAGGTAGACTGGTATGGACCTGCTATGAAAGGCAATTATGTCGAGTCGTCAAACGAGATCATTCGAAGGGTAGAGAAACTCGCCAAGGAGAAGGGCGTGTCGATGGCGCAAATCTCTCTCGCCTGGCTCTTGCACCAGGATGTCGTTGCAGCTCCTATCGTCGGAATGCACAGTGTCGATAGGGTCCATGATATCGTCGGTACGTAATAAGTTTATCCTTTGCTCAACATGACACTAACGATTATCCCACTATCATTAGGTGCGATCAATGTCAAATTGACGAGCGAAGAGTTGAAGCTTTTGGAAGAGCCTTATCTTCCCCGACCGATCGTAGGCCACTGAGGTCGTATTTATTCTACAGCTCAAAGGCTTGGTCTGTGCTGGGATTATACTTCAATGAGCACGACCGATGGATAATGTAGCATGCAAAGGACTGATACAAATCGATATCTATACTGTATCTTTAAGCCATTTAATTACCATTCCACTTTAATCTTATACAATAGTGAGATAGTGACCGGAAATTGAAAGCAAAATGCTCTCTAAAGGGACGAAGAGTTAAGTGACTATCATTTTATCCAATCATATTACTGTTTCTATGGTAAGCTATGTAATGAGAGCTCGTGACTAGGTTAGTACAAGGCCATTCCGATAAGCGACAAGACCAAAGTGACGAAAAGAATCACTGGCGAGTCTGGCATAGTCTTAAAGGCAGCATTTTTACTACCACCGCCACCAGCCATACCGATATATCTGTGCATGCTTCGTGGTTAGAAAGTATGTAACCTTTCATAGGTCACTCACGTTATTGCGCTGAGCTCCAAGGTCCCAGCGCCAGACTCACTTTCCGCCAATCCGTTCTTCACGATCACTTGATGTGTTGTCGACTCCAATTGAGCACTACTAAATACTGGTGAGGCGGCGCATTGGTCCCTTGCGGCACCCGCGCCGGAACTCGAGGTGCTCAAAGTAGAAGCGGGGGCGCCGTCGATCTGAACAGACATGGAACCACCCTGAGATGAGGGGATGATATATAGAGAGATTTACGTTCCTTGTGCAAGGCGAGGTTTATTAGTAGGCTAGGTGAGTGAGAGACTTACCTTTAAAGGTGAACGTGAAACCTGCGTCAAGCTTGTTTGTTGCCTTGGTTCCATTATTGCAGATGCCCACTCCGGACTGGGTAGCAGTATCGACCCATGCATTGGCTGGATCGTATACAATCCTTTCATCGTTCGGAAAAACACTGAAGGTACTAGTGGCATGTGCCTGAATGTACTTTAATTGAGATGGCGTTGGAAGGAGCTATCGATGATCTTTCTTACTGTGGTTGAATCCTGTGATGGATCCGGAGTGGGTGCTGTATAATCTCCAAGTAGCATGTGACAGAACTAGCCATCGTCAACAGTTTTGAAACAGTATAACTTAAGGGTTTCTCGAGTACATACCCTTATTTCCTCTACAGTATGATGTTGTACTATATAGTTGTCCTCGCAGTCGTGTGGTACCAAGGTCGTGTTACAGTACCAGTTCGCGGCGGGAGTGGACCTAAATGAATCAGTTGTGGACGTCCAGCCGGGACAAGTCTGCGGTGTCTCGTCAGAAACAACAGCTATATTGAAGGAAATGACAGACGTCGTCAAGACAGCCCTTGATAGTACTGCCTAGCCATCCTTGTGTATCGCAATTGCATACTCTTTCTCCAGGTGTGCATCCATTGGCTGAGTGCCTTTCGATACAAGCAAGGGTACAGGAGATTGCGGGATCGACGAATTGAGCTCGGGCCCATGTGATATTCTTGAAAGTAACGAGTGTGAAGATGGACGATGCCAAAAAAAAGGAGCGCATTGTTTCAGACGTTTGAAAGGGGGAAAGAGGTATGAATCTCGTACGGAGACATTGGAGCTGTAAACCTGGCTTAAATAGAGCGGAAGTGGTTACCAAAGGCTGCAATTCGGCACGGTGGCAGGCATGTGTCAGTCGGAGGCAGCCACTAACAGCCAGCAGAGTACTCATCCGCCCAGATGAAACATCTTTTGCAAGTCGTGTATAACTCGTGAAATCAAACTTACTAAAGTGAAATGACCCAATAAATATGACCTTTCTGTCTATCAAATGGCTGGCACGTAGCCGACAGCCTCGCATCGCAACGGCGTACGACACAAGATCAGAAATAAGCTTAGTCTTGGCGTATCTTGGCATTCCTCCGTCGTAATTTGATCTCGTCGATGCAGGTTTAAGTCTCTCCATTCCGACCTTGCAATTTCTTGTGTGGTTATGAGCCTAAATTAACAAAATTTCCCCTAATGGACTAATTTTTCTCTAGAGATGACTTACTTAACGATATCGAGTGACTATAAATTGATTTCTATATATCTTGCAAGATAGAAAGGCATCCGTACTCAAGCCACTTGCAATTATTTTTACGCCCTACATGTCTGCCTCGAGGCTTCCGCATTGGCGAAGCGCATTGTGAATCCAGTGCCACACCGAACTCAGTCAGGCTCACCTCCACTTGCACTCTATCGATGGCAAACGACGCAAGTCCATCAACTCCTCAAAAATATGAGGCAAATCACAGATGGTTAAGATTAGCGGGATCAGGACTATTCGTTTCTTTCTTTTGCGTCACCAAGGAGTTAGACCGACCACCCGGTTATGGAGAAGTGATGAATGTAAATCCGGGCCAAATCGTCCGAAATTGTCCAAAGGTCAGGCTGAGAATTTGAATCTTTGTCTATTAACTAGACAAGAACACATAGAACATACCAGCACACCCCGTCATTACCACTGGAGTTGATAAATTTGGTCGGCCGCTACTTGCAATGGTCACTCGTGACTCAAAAGCCTTCAAACATTGGAAGTCTGTGGAAGAATTCTCCAGTCTT